CTCACACACAAAAACCCCACTGTGTGCTTGCACTCTCTGCTTGACAGTTGTCAAAGGACAGTTGTTTTAGAGCCTCAGACACAAGGGGTTCTCGTCTTTAATGCATGCATTATATGTGCACTCAAGCTGGCAATGGTTTATCTACGAAGCAGACAGACACATGCGCTAAAGAGAAGGGTATTTTGCAAATCTGATGCTCCAACATTCTTTCTTTACCAGCAGCACAGTATCTTGCGTGCCCAAATTCCTGAAGGAAGTCCAGTTACTTGAAGGAAATTAGCAACTCATTCTAATCATCAAGTTATTAATTACCTACTTCTGCTTCTATACAGACAAATACATTCAGAAAAGGTATCATCAACATTAGTGACACAAAGACAGAACAGCAAGAAACGGCTTCTAATATGGCTAGAATTGAAGAGGTGGTTATAACTAAGTTGCAACATACCACTCTCTCCGCAGCCTAACTTGAAAAATAAGTTTCCTAGCTGACCTGCTCTTGCCTTTATCAGTTACTCCACAACACGCAAAGTTGGATGTCACTTCTGTCATCACCCTAAAATCCAGGCTTCCCCTTCCTTCTCTTCATTCTCTTTACCTTCAGGAATTTATGTCTTTAACGTGTTCAAATCACTCACTTCCCCATTCCATCAAAGGCACTGTGCCCTTTCCCTGGAGAACAACTTTCCTCTTTCCCACCTTTTCCCTTTACAAACCTGCTGTGCCCCAGACACACCTGCAGATAGAAGGATTTTTCATTCTCACCCACTAACAGGGGTTGTACTACTCAACACTGAGTAGCACTCCAGCCATCACCTGCCTCTTTCCCAAGCCCTCCCTCACAGCAACACAGACACAGCTGCCCTGACTGCTGCTTAGTCACTGGCCTTCAGATTAGAGCCATTTAGATGGAACTTTGTCCCTGTCATCTCCCCCACCCCCCCCAATTTCAGTACTACAGAGTTCAACCGACATTTACCATTAATAAGTTAAACACCACACTCTTACCACAGTTATTTCCTACTTCAAAAATTCAAGGAAGCTTGTGGTATCTTGAACACCACTGCACAGGAACACTTTAATTTTTTTCTAATGCCAATATACAAGTTCTGACAGAGCTTATGTTTCTGCCTTTCTGCATACACAGAGGAAGCTATTGCAAGATCTGCATCCATACTGAACTCTTTCTTTCAGAGGTGTTAAAAATTAGAGATCTGGGAAACAGAAGAATACAGTCCAAACTAAATCTCAAGAAATCACACACTAACTTCTCTACAGTACTTAATGCACCAGGATGTCCTGTACGCATAAGATAACAAAACAGAAACAAACCACATAAGGTCATTATTTTAATACCACAGTTACAGATTACAGCTGGAAGCAAAAAAATCAGTAAGTCATACATTAACTGGTATGCTTGTTTCCAGCAAAGATCAAATAAGAACTGTTCTGATCATATTAGCCCCAAGATCTAAATGTTAAACAGCCTCTCCTTACTATAATCGGTCATTTAATTTTCCAGTTGCCTTCTGTAAGCTGGTGATAGGTCATTTTCACTTCTCCTACAAAGCTTGTAGCTGAAGAAATACAGTGGAATCCTTACTAAATCATAAACTATCATGTCTCTTAAAAATGGCATATTACCATTCATAACCTAAAGAGGAAAAAAAAAAAAAAAAAAAAAAAAAAATCAACTTCAGCCAGAAATTCAGGGATTTATAACATTTCAAAACTACATGAAGGCAAACAACATAACAGCAGCCCACACCAAGGTGTGACTAAAATAGTAGTTTTTTCTGTTAACCAACTTCCACAAGCATGTGTTCGCCCCTTTTTTTGTTAAATAGCACTATTTGGAGAGCTGTTTCCATCTTTGTATCTTCCATTCTCCTGAAAGGAATTTGATTTTGCGAGTAAACAAGCAAACTGCTTCCAGTTAGCCTGGTCCAGTTGTCTCTATTTAGCCATCACTGTACCAAACCAGACGCTCACGTAGGCCCACGGGACCGGTGCCGGCTCAGGTATTCCTCACGGGGCGATCCCAAGCGCGGCCCAGGGCTCAGCCGGCGCTTGGCAAGCAGCTCTGTGCTGGCAGTGCTGGCCTCAGCAGTCTTCCCCAGCACTCACTCGTTCCTATGCCCTCTGTTGTGACGGTACAGCTGTTTGTGCAGCCACACAGTGAACCAGACCGGGAAACGATCCAGATTCACAATAACCCAGTAAAGAATTTTTATATGCCAGCCAGGTCCTTAATCCAGTCAACTCAATTTTGGCCACCTCACAAGGCACATAGCCTTTACTGGTCTGAGAGCAACAACAGTATTACACAGCACACAGGACACAATCATGTTACTCCTCCAAGCAATCATAATTTTTAATTCATGTTGAGGATATCAAAATGTCATCAATACACAATATCCCCTGGCATAACACAGAAAAAAACACCTGCAGATTCATTCTAGTCTGAGCAAGCGTGACAGAATGAAGTTACTCTTTCTTGTGCACATCCTTGATCAACTCCATTAATAACTTCTGATTTTACAGAGTTCCATCGTAGACAGAATGCCAGAATGAATTTCAAGCGCAACCTTATTTTCCAGAATAGAATACACTTTCTACGCTACTCACTGACTTTTCTCATTTCATTGATAAAAAGCTTTGACACAAGAGCCAAAATCTTAGTGTGCCCCCCCACCATTCTACCCCAATCAAAAGTAGCTGTGCCTACTCTTGCTTCTTGTAGCGTAAAAAGGGTCGCCAACAACCAGTCCTCCGACATTGACACAAAGTAAATATCATTGGCAACACAAATCAAAGGCATCCATCCCATACCATCAAATTCCTGTTACGAAGTAGCTCTGTTCTAAATTAGTCTCTTAAAAATTAGTGAATATAAAGAAACACAAATTACCATGTATCTTGCAGTCTTTTGCAAAAACCTCCTGAACAGTTAGCACGAGGAAGCATGCTGAGTAAAAAGAATACAATTCTTTTTATAAACTTCTTTTAATTATCAAATAGCAGGGAGAGCTCTTTTGAGGATCATGACAGTCCCAGTTCTAAAATTATTGTATCATTAACTCACATGAGTAACCCATTTGAAGGAAGTGCAATTTCCTGTACATTAAAACCTCAACATAAACCAGCATTTATATTTGAAGCCCACCACTGTGTCTTTCTAAGACATTTTAGGAGCACTTTATACGTTATAGAGGGGACAGAACAACTGCCTGCAAAGTCCTGAAGTACTCGTTCCAGCCTTTCACATGCAGCACAATTAAGCTGTGGTGTCAGAAAGTGAGGCCCCCTGTCTTCCAGACACAAAAGATTCCTCCTACTCCTTTTTGCAGTTTTATTTTTTTGCTATATAAAATGAGACTGAACTTCTCAATGTCTACTGCATAAGTGATGTCTGATAACAGTTACCTGAGTGCCTTTTTTAAAGTAACACCAAGTACATCTAACTCTAGTTAGAAAAGTAGATATTATCATGATAAAGCTGCATATGCTTTCATTTAGTCCTGGTATTCATATGCTGCAAGACAAAAGGTCTCAACCTCACTATAGAATGTCTAGTGATTTAAAAAAAAAAAAAGGAGAAGTATCTGTGGTTTGAACTGAATGAATTATGTGGTTAGTTCTGTGTACAAATAAAAAACCTTTTTAGAAGGTTATCAGCTGTCTAGGCATTAGCTAGGAGTGCATTTAATATTAAAATCTTATGCCTTTGAAGAACTATTTCATGTTCAAATACACTCACTTTCTGTACACATCCAACCTGTCAAAAGCTTCAGAAGTAGTAGCTTTTCATCCATTCTGGTTTAGAAGGGAAAATAAAGTCTTCCCCCACCAACTGCAGGTATCTGTAGACAGTAACATTTTCAAGTCTTTCATGGCAGCTTCAGACCCTGATTTAGCAGCAGGGTATTTTCAGCGAAAGCAGAAGATACGTCTCTCCAGCAGAGAAGCAAGAGTATACTGGAGTCAGCCATATCACCTGAATTGAATTGTTAACATATGAAGGATATCACTCCACATCAGAGCCCAGTAGCTGTTTTGGGCAAAATCTGCTCCCACTGAGAGCTGGTGCGAACGCCGTCCTACCTGCAAGTGCTACTTGAGGACACAGAACTTGAAAAGCAGTTTTTGTATATCGGTGGAAAGATATTAACACCCAGTTTCTTTTTGAAGAGATTATATAAAAAATACAAGATGTTTTACAGCAGTCCATATCGGTCCTTTCTTTTTCTTGCAATAACTAGGAAAAGATTGAATAATTCTAACATGCATTTTGGAATACTATGACTGAAGTCTGATAAGGTAGCAAACTGAAACTACGGATTTCATTGAAACACACTTACCTAAAGTCCCGATCACTGAACACACTCCCCTAAGCATTTCAAAAAGCATGCAGAACAGAACCAGGATAAATACATATACTCTGTAAGTGACACTGGTTTACTGAACTTAACTGGAATACTGCTGTTAAATAAAAAGGAAACCTGAGGAAAAACAGAAATAAAACTCCAGAATAGAGACACAGCTGTTGGCATAACAAAATGGGAATGTGAAGGTACACAGCCTGAACAAGTTCAATAATTAAGACAGTTCTGGGGAATAAGCAGCAATGTTTCTGACAGGGATGACTCCACCCTAAAGTGCCTTTCAAAATAATATGATTAACCATTTAAGTTCCAATACAGGTGACTACCAGAAATAAGGAAAGACTTGGAAAAGTTTGCCTGTCACTTTATGAAACAGAAAAGCTATCAAGTGAAATATATCTTGCTTTAATTTCAAGCATTGCTTAGTATCACGAGTAGACTATTCCTAGGATGCTGCAGCAAATGCTTAACTTTGACAGTTCAAACTCTTACTGCAGACAATCAGAAAATCATCTCAGTGCGAAATCCCAGGGCAGACTTCTAATCAAACTGTGGAATTTAGTCTAGAAAACTTGGGGAGATCCATGCAGTTCCTAAGCAGACTTTCTCCCTCACCTCTCCAGGAGAATGTTTCCTCTTTCCTCTGCCTTCTCTCTCTAGACTGGAGAAAAGAAAGAGATTGTGAAGATCAGAGAAACTTAGTTATCAGGTTAAGACTCAGTGCGGAAGCTACAGGAAGCTTCCTTCCCTAACAGATTTTTCTCCATCCTGTAACTTCAGCGTCTCTACACACTACTAGACAGCTTTCATCTTAGGTAAAATACTGAGGTAGCCAAACGGAACCACAAAGAAAAAAAGTGATTATTGAGCTTTGTGCTTACTCTTCCCCTTAACAGGATTCTTGAGACTCCAGATGCACAACCGACTCTAAGCTTTTGTTGAATGACAGAAATATCCTGGCTTGAACAGTACTGTAGGGGTTAAACTGGTTAGAAGAAGCAAGCAGCTGAAGTTACATATTTGCACTGCAAACCCAGAGCACTAAGATAGCCCCTTCTAATGCAGACAGTGAGTCTCCCCAATAAAATATGTTTACCAACAACTTTATACCCTTACCAGCTTTTGCATGCTACTACCATCATTTGAAGTTCTACTTCCCACAGTACCTGCAGATCCACTGAAGCACGGTAAACGAGACTTATGTTTTTCTAGTTTACAGTATCTACAGAAAAAGAATGGAGGCAATTAGGAGTCAGAGCCAAGAGATTCAATTCAGTGGGGAGAAAAATCACTTTTGTCACAGAGTTCTAACATTCACATCAAAAAACTAGGACAGAAGTCCAGAGGTCAGCTTTCTCTCTTTGGCTCCGTCATCTGCTGCCCTCTTGTTTCAAGAGAGCCACTTCTGTATCTCAGGTTGCTCTCTCCTATTTATTTTTAACAGGGAAAATAGCCACCTACCTCAAAGACCCAAAAATTAGTCAACACTGGAAAGCACCAAGCTGCTCGTAGACAACTGTGAAACAGAAGTTGCAAGAAGGTCGGACACAGCCTTTTTTCAAAGCAGAAGTCTCGGCTCCAAGGTTTGAAACAGCCCTTTTCCTGTTCTTTTTGCAAGTTCGTACACCACAATTCTAATGGCATGTGAAAGACCTCTTGACCTTTAGGGCAAGTGACTGTAATAGCAGATTGCAGACACTGTTTCCTCATTAATACATAAAAACACCAAGAGTGACCTAAACCTGTTTCTTGCTTGCTCAGACACACCTCAATCAAAGGCCTACAAGTAAATGGTCACATTTCTTGGCAAGTTAAGAAAGAATTACTATCAAAAGCAGCCTCAGAAGTAGATGTACACCACAGCACAAACCCAAGGCATCAAAAACTTCAGACCTTACTATTGGCTTACCTATTAGCTGTCACTTGACAAAGAAAAAATAACCTGTCAAATTCAAGTAGCAACTACAGGTGCACAATCATCAGACCTTTTATTTTACTCTTTAGAGAGTGATTTATGAAATACATCATGTTGTGTGGAAACAAAAAGCCAGACTTCTCGGCAATGAAATACTCTCTACTGAATTAAAAAAATATTTAAAGGAAATTACACAACCCATCAACTTATAGGTCATGTCTAAAAACACCACCAAAGCATCCTGCTTATTTTACCACAGAAAACTTCTTAGGTCTTACAAGTACATACAAGTGTCTGGTAAAACAAACACCTGTCCCATGACCACAAAACTGACTCCTCGTGACAATTAACTGTAAAACCTGAAAGATCCTCTTAACAAGCCTCCTTTAATTTAATAAAGTTACTTTAAAGCAAATAAGGATCCATTCAAGACTATTGGATTTGCCTGGTTTGTGTGCACATTTTCATTTTTCAGTACACAAATATTTACACTTACCATGTTTCTACCTCCACACCGTTTAAAACTTTCATCTTTTTATAGGCAAAAGACAAAAAAAAAAAACCTCTAGATCTTATCTTCCTCAAACCCTAAACATACTAACCCTATTTTCACCCAGTTAAAGTTTTTCAATCCTCTACTCTTAAACTGAATCTTGATAAGGCATTTAGATTCACTCATAACTACAACCAGCCCAATGAAAATGAACCTCCAGCACTTTTCTGTACATGAGTCACAGACGCCAATATATTCAAATCCTTTGGCAAGTTTAGGCCCTAAACTATTAAAAACACAGGGGATTTTTACCGTGGCACACAACACCGAACATTTTATTCTGCTTCCCTCCCACTCACCGAAAACAAACAAACCCCACCAAAATTAAGGGGCGGGGGGGAGGAAAAACAAAACCGAAACAAAACAACGCAAAAATGAGAAATCCCCAAACAAACCGCAAGTCTTCAGATACGACAGGGCTGCTCGTACCCCCCTTCACAAGTTTAAATGGCACCGCGGTGACAAAACCAGCGCTCGGGAGGGGACCGGAGGCGCTGTGTTATCCCTCCACCACAGCGCGCAGGAAAAGTTTCCCCGTGCTTCCCGCCGGGCTGCCCCGGGGGCGGCCCCGCCGCCAGCCCGGCCCGCCCGAGCCCTTTCCCCGCCCGGCCCCAGGCCGCGGCCGTGTGGCGCACTCCGTAAAGCGCTGGCCCTCCGCCCCCCTCCCGGGCTCCCGCCGCCCGGAGGAAACCGCTCCCCCGTGCTCCGAGACGCGGCAGGGACGGGGGAGGCGGGGAGGGCCCCCCTGCTCCCCCCGCCACCGACACCCTCCCGCTGCCCCGGGCCCGGCCGCCCTTTGTTCCGGCCCCCCGAGCAGGCGGCGCGACGGCCCGCGTCCTTCCGCCGCCCCCCCCCCCCCCCAACACCCCCGGAGGGGCTGCCGGGCTCGGCGGGGAGGGGAGGCCGGGGGCGCCCGCTCCCCAACTTTTGTTACGGCCGCGGCGGGGAGGAAGCGGGGTGGGAGGAAGCGGCCCCCCGGCAGCCCCCCGGAGGCCCCGCTCCCCCCCGCCCGGTGCTGAGTCACCCCCCGCGGCGGGGCTGCGCCCCCTCCCCGCGCCCCGCAGACAATGGCGAGGGCGGGCCGTGCCCCGGCCCTCCCCCGCCGCCCCCGGCCCCCGCACCGTGATGTTGCAGTGGATGGTGAGCGGCGGCGGCGGCTGCGGGCTGGAGCCCGGCGGCGGCGGCAGGAGCACGAACTGGCAGTGGAGCTCGTCCAGCTTCCAGGAGACGATGCGGAAGCGCTCGTGGTCCTTGTCGAAGATGGACTCGAGGAACTTCAGCTCGGCCTTGAGCCCTGACACCGACATCCTGGCCTCATCTCCGGGCCCGGGCCTGCGCCGCCTCGCCCGCTCTGCCGCCGCCTCCCTCCGCCTCGGCCCGGCCCGACCCTGGCCCCGGCCGCGCCTGCGGGGCGGAAGATGGCGGGAGGGCGGGGAGGCCGGGGCAGCCCCAGCCGGCGGGGGGACGGCGAGCGCGGCGACAGCTCCCTTTGTACCGGCCTCCCGCACCCGCTCGCTCGCTTAAAAGGGCAACAGCGCAGCCCGCTCCCCCTTCCCTTCCCCTGCCTCCCCGGCGGGCTGGGCCAGCCCCGCCAGCCGCCCCGCCCTCGCCCTGCCCTCCTCCCGGGACACCCGCAGCGGGGCCGGCCCGGCCCCTGCTCCTCCCCCGGGGCCGCCCGCTCCGGGAACCGCCGGGCGGCCCCGACCCCTGCGCCCGGGCTCTGCCCCGAGGCCCCCCCCGCTCCCGAACCGCAGTGACTGCTTACCCCCTGCTTCTCCTTCTCTTACGCCGCTCGGCCCTGCGGCAGGGCACGCCGCCCTCCTTCCTCACCCCAGTTTGGATTTTGCTGAGAAAAACCGCCGGCTTGGGTTTGCACTTGTCCTCTCGGAGTCCCCTCTGCTACTCCTAGGGGTCAGCCAGCATAAATCAGGGACTCCTGTCCCAACATTTCTGGTGGATCGGTACAAATAAATCCCGGTGTCGATCGCTGGAGGCTGGGAAACAGCAAGACAGAGGCCAAGAAGAACCGTTAGCGTTGCATTCAAGTTCCTCTGTAATTGTTCATACAACATTTTAGCCCCACAAAAAGCACTACGAAGCATGAAAGCAGAGTAAAGTGAATACTCACTGCATTCAAGGATCAAGAGATGCTGCCTCATGTTTCTGTCACTTTCTGACACTGAAAAAAATAATCTGTGCAACTTTCCTTGTCCCTTTCCATCTTGATTTTGTCCGTAGACCCTTGACAGCTCTTTGGGAACAAGGATCAGCTCTTACACAGCATAAAGAGATTACTTTGAAACAAGTAATACTACTGAAGAACATCCTTCTTATTTCCCAACCACCTTCTAATTTATGCAGTACACATGCACACACACAAACCTGGAATAGGGAATTGCCTTTTTATTTTTTTTAACATTGATATTTTATATAAATCTTTAAATCCAAAAAAACTGGCAGCACTTCACAAACCACAAGCTGAATCTTGTCAAGTGGTGAGAACTGTAATCTTGATCCAGAAAAACAGTTATGCACATGCCCAACTCCAAGCATATGGAAGTCTTACTGATTTGTGGGCTTGAAATCTCCTATCCTTCCAGCAAAGAGAGATGCAAAGAACACACTTTGTTACAAAAGAAGCCAGGAAGGATTGACACTAGTTAAATACTCTGAATAAAAGATACCAGGAAGTCCAGAGAGTCGCAAGACCTGTTTTTTTTCAGGTATCATTTGAAAGACTCCTATTATACAGTGTGTGAAATGCAGCTTTCCTAGAAGGGCTGAACTGTGTGTTTGCTCAGACTGCATGGCCTGCAAAGTGAAGACAGAGTGGATACGACTGTTGTCTGTTGATGCATCAACAGGCAGGGTGAAGAGAGATAAAGGAAGATTTAAGTATAAAGGCAAATTAGCTATAAATAAACAGCAGAAAATTATGACTATACCTATTAGAAAGGGTGGGCCTGGAAGAGCCTTTTCTATGGGAACACCAGAGACAAAACTGAACAAATCAGACTTTGTCAGGCATTACATGATGCGATGCATGAAACAGCAGAGGCATGAATTTGGTGACTCAGCCCTCTTTCCCTCATACGATAGGATTTTGGCCTAGAGCGCCTCACTGCAGCAGATAGGTGGGTAGGCTTAGCAAGTTCAAACTGCACCTTTTGACATACCTTATCAGAACTACATCTATCACTACCTCTGCTCTTCCATCCTCCTTGTCTTCCCATCTACCTTCCCTCTCCTCTGCCTCTCCATTGACTGGGACACCCCATCTCTTCTGGCAGCTGCGAGGTGTGGATGTGCTGGCTGGGGGGATGCCCCCCCTGCACTAGCTGGCCAGCTGGTGGAAGGCCTGAGACCCTCTCTCAGGCACCCAGTGACCCAAACGTCATGACATCCCCTGACCGTCTGGCAGGCCAAACAAATTACTTCATCAGCCAAGTGTGTCCTGCAAGCCAAACATTGTTTAAATCTGGTCTAAGAACTTTCCCCAGCTCCTTCAGTCTGCCTTTTTGTTGCAGGCTTCAAGAAGCAACATGCAGTCACGGAGCCGCCACTCCTCTAAATTCTGTTGCACTTCTCTGTATTTAGTAGGCATTGTGCAAGCTGCGACGTCGACTGTGAATTCATTTCTGTGATAAGACCTTGAGAACACATGGGGGCTGCCTTGCTCTCTGGAATCCAGAGGCTGCTTCAGAGGTGTAAAGAGTTGTTCATCATGTCTGATTCATTCCTCTTTCTTCCTTCAGGGACTTGCTATGGGGCTCTGACACGAATCTCACATTGGCCACAGGATGACTCAGAAAATCCTGAGTCTCCCAAAGACCTAAACAAATGCACGCAGGGGAAGACCTGACATCTCTGGGTAATAAAGGAAATTAATCCTGCTAAAGACCCTCAGGAGCACTCTATCATATTCTAGAAATTACAGATGCTCTTAAATTCCCTTAATCCATATTGCCTGTAAGCACCTTTTTTTTCTACCTTTCTTCCTTTCTTTAACATCATGGGAATCTCTATCATACAACTAGATTTCCTCTTCCAGGGATCTGAACTTTGGCCAAACCTCTCTGTTACGAAGATAACATACCTTCATAACTTCCTTTGTTTCTTTTCTCTCCCATCCATTTAAATATAACCATTTTTGTAAGAGTCCTCAGCTGAAACTCTCAGAAAAAACAACAGATTCCTCATTGGTTTCTTGGGTAGAACTGACAAGAAAAAAGGAGGTAGACCAAAATATTCTTTCCCATCAGTATTTACTGCCAGTCCCATCTCCAGTATATCAGCTAGGCATGTCCCTGGTGAGGCAAAAAGCCAGCAGCAAGGGGCAAAAGGAACTGAAGGAAAGATAGGTTCAGGGTGAGCTATTAAGAAGGGAATCATAGACTCATAGAATGGTTTGGGTTGGAAGGGACCTTGAAGACCACCCAGTCCCACCCCCTGCCCTGGGAAGGGACCCCATCCCCCAGCCCAGGGTGCTCCCAGCCCCGTCCAACCTGGCCTTGAACCCTCCCAGGGAGGGGGCAGCCACAGCTTCTCTGAGCACCCTGGGCCAGCGCCTCACCCCCCACACAGGGAAGAATTTCTGCCTTATGTCTAATCTAAATCTGCCCCCTGCCAGTTTATAACCGTTACCCCTCATCCTATGCCCACCCCCCTGATCAAGAGTCCCTCCCCACCTTTCCTGTCCCCCCTTTAAGCCCTGGGAGGCCGCTCAAAGGGCTCCCCAGAGCCTTCTCTTCTCCAGGCTGAACCCCCCCAACTCCCTCAGCCCGGCCTCCCAGGGGAGCTGCTCCAGCTCCCCAAGCATCTTCGTGGCCTCCTCTGGACAAATGAATGAACAAAGATATAGGATGGATGGGATCTGATTAAAGCAAGAGCTGTTTGGGGCTTAAAAACAGCTGTTCCAGAGCACAAATTTCAGTTTATATTAGTCCTCTTCTTCCTGTGAATGCCTTTTCCAGGTCTGCTGTATTTCCAGCTTTACCCCCGAGCGAAGTTCCCTCACGTTCAGATTGAGTGTTTGTGCCTAGCAGAGGATTGATTTGTTTCTTTGAGAATAGTTTATGATTTTGGTTTTTAACCTCACTACTCTCATTTACAGCCTAGCACTTAGAAAGGGTCTTTCTGTTTAATTCTGGTGTCACTTTCCTGAAAGAAATGGCAGGTACCAAAGAAGGAATGCCACTTAAGAAATAAGGAAGGCCCAGATATTTTGTAACCCTGAACCTCAGCAGAAGGAGAAAGAAAATGATAAAGTTAATGAGATGGGAGAAAGTGTAAATTGGTTTTACTGATGGATGATACAGTTTGATAATAACTGATCCTGGGGTAGAACAGACACTTAAACTTTTTCACAGGTAGCAGCAGAACCTGAGACTATAAAAGACAAATAATACCTGATACCCACAGAGAAAAGGATAAGGCAGGAACCTTACCTGAAATCGTGGGCAAAGGCAGAAAGATTCAAGAGAATCCTGCTTTTCCAAGATACAATCCAAGCTGTCTTGCTCACCACATCCCAGCTTTCACATTAACTTCTGAGCTCACAGCATCAAAGTCATTGCTTCAATAACAAAGTCACTTTCAAAGCATTTTAGAAAAAACATACGTGAGGGAATAAAAGCTGATGAAATGGCTGGACAAAGCAGTTTCAAGAAGCATGGCATGC